GTTCGAGCGAAGTCTCTATGTGGGATCCATCTCCACTCCCCCCCAGAAGAAAGGAAGGACGGACCCGATCACGTTCGGGCCAGCTGATTTAACCAACTCCCCAAGCCCGCACAAGGACGAATTGGTGGTGAGCATGTGCATTGACAATGCTTTGATCCGCCGAGTACTGATCGATACCGGGAGCAGTGTGAATGTATTGTATTTACAATCATTCGAGAAAATGGGTCTACAAAGAAGTCAATTGACCCACCTAAGGACCCCATTGGCAAGTTTCACCGGTAATTTTATTGAGGCTGAGGGGACCATCCAATTGTTGGTTGAAATTGGGGACGAGACGCACAAAGCATCACTCCGAATGACGTTCATGGTGGTGGATATAAAATGTGCTCATAATGCCATCTTGGGCCGACCAGGATTGGAAGATCTGGAGGCAATAGCCTCTGTCCGCCACTCGTGCATCAAATTCCACACTGACACCAGGGTTGGGGTGGCCAGAACTGATCCGACGACAGCCCGGACATGTTACCGGGAGGCCCTAAAACAGATGAACACTCGTGGAATGCGGGTCAACACAATTGAGGTGGAGACCCACCGAACGGAGTTCGAGGCACATCCAGAACCCGCCACTCTCCTCGAACAAATTGACCTGGATTTCCTCCCGAACCGTAAGGTAGCTATCGGGGTAGATCTGGAGGCTGACATCCGGGATGGCGTGATCGCCGTCCTAAAAAAGTTTCAGGTATTATTCGCCCGGGGCCAGAAGATATGCCAGGTATTGACTCGGAGATAATATGTCACAAACTTTCCGTTCGGCCTGATGCAAAACCAGTCCAGCAAAAGAAACGATATCAAGCAACCGAACGACGGGAATTCACAAAGCAGGAGGTGGCCACCTTGCTAAAAATAAAACACATCCGCCCAGTAATCCATGTAGAATGGCTATCGAATGTGGTCCTAGCTCCAAAACAATCTACTTGGAGGATGTGTGTGGACTACTCGGATCTGAATAAAGCTTGTCCCGTGGACCCTTATCCGGTCCCGAGGATCGATCTGCTAGTAGATGAAACTGCCGGATGTGAATTGCTGAGCTTCATGGATGCATTCTGGGGCTACCATCAGATCTTCATGCACCCAGCTGATGCAGAGAAAACAACGTTCGTTACTTCGGATGGTGTGTTTTGCTATATTGTCATGCCATTCGGATTAAAGAACGCAATGGCAACTTTTCAAAGGATGATCGGGATGCTATTCAAAGAAGTGTTGGGGGTCACAATGGAGGCTTATGTTGATGATATCCTGATCAAAAGCCGGAAGAAGGAGAATCATGCCCTGTACATAGAAAAGGTGTTCGGGATAATGCAGAAAGCTAACATGAGGCCGAATCCCAAAAAATGTGCTTTTGCTGTAAGAGGGGGCAAATTTTTGGGATACATGATGAGCGAGAAGGGGATTGAGCCCAATCCTGAAAAGGTAAAGGCAATTATGGATATGGAGGCTCCTAGAAACCTCTAAGAAGTGCAGAGATTGACCGGTCGGTTAGCAGCTCTGAGCAGATTCCTATCCAAGCTAGCCGATCGAGCTATTCCATTTTTTCAGATCATGAAGAAAGCCAACCCCTTTGAATAAACGACCGAATGTCAAACGGCCTTTGAAGATTTCAAGACATATCTGTCTTCCCCCCTGGTCTTGACAAAACCCGAACCAGGGGAACATCTATATATGTACCTTGCTGTAGCTGACCTGGCTGTGAGCACGGTATTGTTGAAAGAAGAGGATGGCATTCAACGGCCAATCTATTTTGTAAGCAAGGCTTTGAACGGCCCGGAAACCAGGTACACCTTGCTAGAGAAAACAGTGTTGGCCCTGATAGCTGCCATTAAACGTCTGGCACCATATTTCCAGACTCACCCGGTAACTATGTATACTACTCAGCCACTCGCCACCATCTTGAGAAACCCGATGGCAAATGGACGCATTACCAAGTGGAGCCTCCTGATCGGGCAATATGAGGTGGATTTCAAGCCTCGACCTACTATCAAAGGACAGGCCCTGGCAGATTTCATTGCAGAATGTACCGCCCGGCCCTCAGAAACAGACTCAGAGAACAATGGGCTGGATAACTGGTGGGAAATGTATGTGGATGGTGCAGCTAGTGCCAAGGGTTGTGGAGCTGGAGCTGTGATCACATCGCCCGAAGGTTTCAAAGCATATTATTCCATCCATTTGACTTCAAAGTAACCAACAATGAGGCTGAGTATGAGGCCCTCATTACTGGTTTAAAATATGTGAAGGCCCTGGGTGCCGATCGGTTAAAAGTCCGATCGGATAGTCAATTGGTGGTACATCAAGTAAATGGAACTGCTGAGGCTAAAGAAGAGAGAATGAAGGCTCACAAAGAGATAGTTGAGGAGCAGATAAGCAAATTTGAACAGGTGGTGCTCGACCAAATATCCAGGATAGAGAACACTGAAGCAGATATCTTATCCAAGTTAGAAAATGCAGCGTTCGACGACCGGGCACAGGAGATCCCGGCCCATATCCAACGTTTTGCCCATCGGGAAACATTGGCAACCCCAGTAATCATGATGCTCCAGATCAAGGTCATATCTTATGTCGTCCCTAGCTGGGTCATAGATATGACCAACTACCTCAAAGACGGAACCCTCCCACAAGATGAAAATCCTGCTTATCAGATAAAATGCATCCAAAGGACGGCTTCCATGTTCGAATTGGTGGACGGACAGCTGTACAAAAAGACGTTTGGTGGGCCGTATTTGAAATGCCTCCCACCCGATCTAGCAGCGGCCGTAATGGAAGAAATTCCTGAGGGTATCTACTCCAGCCACCAAGGGCCCAAGACACTGGCCAGAAAAATCATCCTGCAAGGGTATTATTGGCCGACTATCCAACAGGACTGCTTTGCACATACTAGGAAATGTAAAGTATGTCAACTGTACGCACCGGTCCCCGGACGGCTAGCCACTTTCTACACTCCAATGACGGTGGTCCTTCCGTTCGCAAGATGGGGGATCGACCTGTTAGGTCCTTTACCTACGACCCCTGGGAATAACAAGTATATCATCGTGGGGATAGATTACTTTACCAAATGGGTAGAGGCCGAACCACTGGCCAACATCACAGATGTCAAATGTCAAAAGTTTGTCTGCAAGAATATTATTTTCCGGTTCGGAATCCCTGAGCAGATTGTAACTGATAATGGAAGGCAGTTCGTAAGCCGGAATTTTGAGAACTACCTGATCAAATGGGGAATCAAACATTCCAGAGCATCCGTAGCATACCCTCAGGCGAATGGCCAAGTAGAGAATATGAACCGTACTATCATGGATGGTATGAAGAAGAAGATGGAAGAATACTCCTCATCGTGGCCTGATCAGTTAAATTATATTTTATGGACTTACAGGACTACACATCGAACGGCCACGGGAGAAACTCCATTTGCCCTTGCTTATGGTTTCTAGGCCAAAGTACCAACGGAGATCCTAGTTCCCACACATCGAACGGTGCATTACAGTCCAGACCAAAATGAGGACAACCTACGGGCCGAACTGCATTTCATAGAAGAAAGAAGGGATCTGGCAGCTGCACGAATGGAAGAGTATCACAGAGCCACGACAAGATGCTTTGATAAACAAGTCAAAGTTCATTCAATCGAAGTAGGGGACCTGGTGCTAAGGAAGCGAGAAAAAAGCAAACCTCTCGAAGGTGGAAAAATGGCACAAAATTGGGAAGGCCCCTACCAAATATGTAAGAAGTATGCTTCAGGAACGTTTGGCCTACAAAATACCGAAGGTCGACCGGCAGGCACATGGAATACGGAACATCTAAGGAAATTTTATCAGTAAAAACGGTTGTTGCCACCTCTAAAAACATGTATAGAGAGGGAGACATAACTTCCAGAAAATCTCAGCCCATGGTTAACACGATCATTCCGGATGACCGAATGATGAACGGGTTAACAACATGGAAGTAAAATCATTCTTAGCTAAGAAAGTTTTGACCCTAGATTTATGAACGGATAAAGGGATCAAAACGGCTTGAAGAATCGATGCTCAGAAAATCTCAGCCCATGGTTAACACGGTCATTCCGGATGACCGAATGACGAACGGGTTAACAGCATGGAAGGAAAGTCATTCTCAGCTAACGGCTTGGAGTTTGACACTCAGATAGTCTCACCTCAGCGGTTAACATGGGAATCGTTCTGGATAACCGAATGAGGAACATATTAGCAGTTTGGAGGGAGCCATTATTTCAGCTAGAGTTTGACCCTGTAATTACGCATTGTTAAAGGGATCAAAATGGCCTGGAGTTTGATGTCAGTGATTCTCACCTCAGCTTTTTAACACGCAAAATCATTCCGGATGACCGAATGAGGAACGGGTTAACAGTTTGGAGGGAGTTGAGTCGTCAACTTAGCTAAATTCGACTCTGTAATTACGTACGGGCAAAGGGATCAAAACGGCTTGGAGATGGTGTCAAGACTGTAAGATATGGACGAACCGAGCGACGTTCGGATAAGGTACGGATTGTCGTACGGGGAATCGGAACTATGGTTTTGAAAAATCTCGCCTCAGTCATTAACTTGATTTGGAAGCGAGTCGCCCTTTTAGCTATAAATAAGGAATGACCCGATCCGGTGACCTTGCTTACAGTTTGAAAAGGGTCACCTCGACCCCTAATATGGATGATACGAGCTAGGGAGAATAGTTCGGAATGCATCGGAATTATGGGTTTGGAAGGGAGATAGTCTCACCTCAGCTTGTTAACACGTGGGATCATTCCGGATGACCGAATGACGAACGGGTTAACAGTTTGGAGGGAGCCCCTGTCCCAGCTGAGAGTTTGACCCTGTGGTCACGATCAAAACGGCTTGGAGGAATTCACCTCAGCTAAAAGAGTTTTGACCCCGTGGATCACGAACGGAAAAGGGATCAAAACGGGCTCGGGAAAGGTGTCAGAACAAATTCGGAAGGGAGATAGTCTCACCTCAGCTTGTTAACACGTGGGATCATTCCGGATGACCGAATGACGAACGGGTTAACAGTTTGGAGGGAGCCCCTGTCCCAGCTGAGAGTTTGACCCTGTGGTCACGATCAAAACGGCTTGAGGAATTCACCTCAGCTAAAAGAGTTTTGACTCCGTGGATCACGAACGGAAAAGGGATCAAAACAAGCTCGGGAGAGGTGTCAGACATATAAAGATACATGGGCCGAGTGATGCTCGGCAACATAGAAAGGATTATGAGCAAGAAAAATCAAAGAAAAAACAGAATAGAGACATCAACAGTTAAAGAGAAATGCCCAGTTTATTCTTCGGCATTACTAGCCAGAATATACAAGAGAAAAAGACAAGAAAGCAAAAATTTACAAGGCTCTGCTACTGAAGGACTGCCGTTCGGGGAAGGTGGAGGTTGAGAGCTCCCTGCCTGTACTGCATCATCAGGCGCTGCTTTTGTCCTCTTCTCCATGATCCGGTCGTATGTGTTCCCGAACAGATCGTCAAAGCCTAATTCATCAGGGTCGAACGACTTGGGGAAATGTTCTAGGATCAAATCAAGGTTCCTATCCAAAAGCAGATCCTGACTTTGCGTCACAGTTTTCTCGGTCAGGACATCCAAGAAAGATTTCCCTTCCGGCGTGCTGTCCAGAAGATCAATCCCTGCCTTGATGGGATCCTCGCTTTCGCGTAAGAATCGGCCAAGATGAGGTCCCAGGAATTGCCAGGCTGTGTTCTCCAGAGCGACGTTCAGCCCTTTGCCTCGTTGATAATCAACTATTGATTGATTTGCAATCTGATAAGTGTTGACCGTATAAGGTTCGGGCAGATGGTCACCAACGGCTTTGTCAAATTTGATCCCGATGGATTCGGCAGCCCGCAGCTTGACCCGGAGTCCTTTAATCTCCCGGTCGCGACGTCAGGTTTTCTCTTGCATTTCAGCCAGAGCAGCTTTCGCCTTCTCACCTTCCTTGGCCCGTTCTTGTAGATCAGCCGCTAATTTCCGAGCGGCAGAAAGAAGGACCTGGCTGTCATCCCGATCGCTGGCCAGGGTTTTCATTTCCTTTTCGGCCGCAAGAAAGGCCTTATGATAGTATACACCGGCCTGAAAACAAGTTGCAAAGAAAATCAAATAAGATAAACCAATAAAAAATAGGAAGGTATGGATCAGAATGAAGCGTACCTTGAGTGCTTCTTGATGACCTGCTTCAAAAAGATCTAACCAGTGAGTCAAGTTCGTGAAACTGGGGGGAACCTTAATCGCAGTATGACACCACATGGAGGATGGCATCAGCCCGAACAGGTATCTCCCTTCTGATCTAGGTCCCATGTTCGAAAACTCAACAAACATCCGATCATCGATCGGCGCATCAGAAAGAGTTGGAGTTGTTGGTTTGGCAGGCATAGATTTTTTTGGTTCAGCTTCCAACCCGGTCAAATCAACCACGTGATCGACCGGGATCAATATGTTGTCGTCATTCCCCTTGCGTTTCTTTCGGGTTTGCTCTGCGGAGGCATGATCGGCAATCATTTTCTCCTTGCCTTTCCCAGAGGAAGCCGTCAGAGTAGCGGCAGATATAGAACGCCGGACGGGTATGAGGGATATCACACCTACAAAAAAGGGGAATAAGAGATAAGAATCTAAATTGGAAGAAGGAATGACGATCGGGTTAAAGCCCTGTTACATTTACCAACCCGACAGATAGCATGTTAGAAGTGGTAATAAAACCCCGAAGACTTCGGGTTCCTCCCATCCACAAAGATTCAGCTTGGGAGCGTAGAATGACATCTACTCTAGGCTGAGAATCTCGAACGGGATAGGCGTTCCACCTATCCGGAATTGGCAGAGAATCACCTACCCGAACAAACAGAAAACGCTCCTCCCAGTCAGCCGGCGGGGTGGGATTATCTGTAAACAACTGACGATCAGAACGAGCTACCAGCTTCAGGTACCCGGTCGTCCAATAAGGCTGATAACAGTAGTGATGAAGGAATAAGTCGACACTTGGAGCGATCCTCAACTCGTGGCATCGAATTATGAAGCCTGTAAGAATGTGGTAGGTACTGGGCACGAACTGAGCGGGTAGTACAGAAACCCGGCGTAAGAACTCCACGATGAATGAATGAAGAGGGAAGCGAAGCCCAGCAATCAAAGCGTCAAGGTGCACTAACACGTTCCCCGGTCAATGCCTCATTGGGTGCCGAATGAATCCAGCATAATATTCTCTTGGTGGGGGCAATAATTGGCTAAGTTGTCGTTCGACATCTTCAGGAAAACGTTGTTTTTGTTTACGGATACGGTTAACATGTAGGGGAATGCGGGGTGGCCGCTCGGGCATTCCCTTGTTATAGACCTGGACATCGTCCCTTGATAGGCATCCGTCATCACGTGGCTGTTCGGTGTTTTTTCCTACGAGAGGATTGCCGGAGTTAGGTGCTTGGGGAGAAGAGCCTTCGGCCTTGTTACCAGCAGATGTTTTTCCTACACGAATCAACGACATCTCTTCAGATTCTGAGCTAGAAGGGAAATACATAAAATCACTTGAGGAATTCTGAGAATTCTAGAGAGAGAAAGCTTGAAAATACGCAAGAGATTTTGAGCTTAGAAAGAAAAATGAGGAAACAACAAGAAAAATGAGGGGCAAGCACCTCTCTATAAATAAGGAAAGTGCCGCTCAAAATCCTAATTCATGAACAATACGTGGCATTAAGTGGTTATAATTAATCAGGGTGTATTTATGATTCATCTTTAGTCACGTACCCCGAACGGGTAATAAAGAAGCATGATTGCGAGTGCTGGTTAACCAGGGAAGCGAACCTCGAACGGGCACTTACGTTTTGAGGCAAATCACCGATCACAAAGAAAAGCAGCGAGGGCCATAGGAATGGCTAAAAAACTACTCAGATCGCCGATTACCGAACCGCGAGCCAAATAACTAAGATGTTTCAATTTAGCCGAGTGACGAACGGGCTCACAGAGAAGTAGCGAAGATCCCAGAGATGTGCTGATTAGAAAAACTGTTAAGTCCTAAAAAATGATCTGAAGCCCGAACGGCTATCAACATATGAAGGAAGCTAAGTGCGGGTAGACTATCAGAGACATCTGAAGCCAGAAAAACTGCAAAGTCCTAAAAAATGATCTGAAGACCGAACGGCTAAGTCCTAGAAAGAAGGGGGCTAGTCCTTGGTAAATTATCAGAACCCTCTACCGCCCGAGCGACGATCATACGGTGTTAGGAGTGTTAAGTAAGAAATAAAATCAGAAAATTGTTAAGTCCTACAAAACGGGCCGAATCCCGAATGGCAAGTAAATCAGTCAATAAAGGCAAGAAAGACAGTATAAAGAGCTTTATGCAAAAAATAGATATATATTCATCGGCTCTATTGGTCGGGAAATACATATAAGGTTTGCAAGGAAAGAGGAAAAAGGGGCAAGGGATTACAGCTGCTAAAATTATTAGGTTCTAATCTATTGTTCTGCCCTATTGTCTTCTTCATCACCCTCCTTCTCATCTGAGTCAGTGGGGGGATCAGGCTCCTTCCCCGCTTCACGGTCAGCAACCCGTTGCAAGTCCCGTTGATACTTCTCATATTGGGCTTCAACTATGGGCGCCTTGGGAAGATCAGCCAGCTTGACCGGCCTCCCTAGTAATTCTTGGAGTTTGGTGACGAAGGGGGCCATGATATGCTGGCAGCCCATGACGTACAGGGAACGGGCCAGGGAATCATTGAACTTTTTCCCCCTTGGGTCCTGGTCGAGCAATTTGACCCCCTCGCTCCGACGGGCGTCACCCGTGGAGAAACGCTCGAGGTAATCACCAAAGGTGACTGGGAGTTGCTGCTGTGCATAATCTTTATTCAAGATGGCGAACTCCTCAGACTCTTTGAGTGACTCCTGGACGGCAGACAAATCAACCTTAATTTCAGCAGGACCGTCTGGGATACGAGGGGCATGCTCTTCAAACTTAACCAAGGCAGCTTCAGCAGCATGAACCTTGGATTGAGAGACCTCGAGCTGAACCCGGAGCTCGCCAAGCTCCGATTCAAGACGCTTCTTCTCCTCTGCATAGGTGATGGATAGTCTACCCGGGGGTATATATCCGAAGGGTTATTACGGGGAGTAACTTAGAGAGAAGTCAGAGCAAACAAGTAAGAGAGAGAGTGCATATTCGATATGTATTTTGCGTGTTATGACTTTTCAGCGTGGTTACAAATGAGGAAATGGGGTGCTATTTATAGCAGCAATAAATGCCGGGCAGGGACACGTGTCAAGCGCTCATTGGCCGAGGGGTCACCGCAACTGGTTGGCGCTGGCAGCCGCATGTGGCCGCATTTAATGCGGCTGTTGGATGGGACGTCTGTGCAGAGTACGGTGATCTGTACGCATGTGAGGCGGATATCTTGTCGAGTGAGATGCCTTCGGCTATAGAGCAGTAGCCGAGGGCTCTTCCTCCCGATGGCACCCCTGGTGCCGAGGGCTCACAGTGCCGAGGGCTGCTGTTTTCGCCGTTTTCTCCCAGTTTCTTAGTTTGCTTGAGAAACCCGTTCTGTGAGAATTTGGAGCCTTCGGCCAGGGGGCCGAAGGCACCCCTGTGCGTTGTGCGGACTGCTTGGTACTCCAGGCGCTGTGAATTGGGCCTGTTGGGCCTTTTGGGCCTGTTGGGCCTTTGCTGGAGTAGTAGGAGTCTATGGGCCGGGGGTTCCCGGGCCATATACTCCATCAGGAGTCCCTCACTCCTTTTGCCGAAAGGTACTTGAGGGAAAAGGAGTAATTTGTGCTTGCCCTTTGATGTTGTCCCGTTGTGATCTCTGAAGTTGGTGAGGAGTTGTTGCTTTTATGTCCCTGCCGAAGGCAGTCCCTCAGTTACCCACATGTCGGGACTTGAGGGCTTGCTTTGTTGTTTGTTGGAATTTCACAGATTTTGTAATTTAATGATTTTCCCGAAGGGGTCCTCCAGTCCCCCACTCCTTGAGGCACTTGTAAAGTGGTGAAAAGGAGTAAAGTAGTTACGTTGCTGTTCTGGGCCGAAGGCTGACGCTTTTCGTTTCATTTTGGGGGGATGCCTCGTTAAAAACCTCATTAGGAAAAACCCTTTGGGAAAAAATCCTAATGAGGGAAAAAGAGTGCACCGAATTCCCCTAATGATGAATCGAAAATGTCAAACCTTGGTAAAAAATGGAGAATGGCGGGAATGCCGAAGGCTCTCTCTTCTGAGGGCTCCTGTGTTGATTAGCTGAAGGCTGGCTGTTGATGTCCTGGTGGCGCCGAAGGGGAGCCCCTCAATCCAGGGATCGAGGGCCTGCCAGATGAGGGCAGCAGTGAAGCTGTTACCGGGGGGGTCCACTGTTTGTTGATGAAGTGGTGATTAAGATACCCGAGGGCCATGGGCCATCCGTCAATGAGGCACTCCCCGGGGGCTACCCGATTTTGCGGTGCTGAGGGGAAAACCCTGAGGGGTACCCTGATATGCAGCCCTAGGGATCTGAAGGAGTGATCCCGAAGGCGTGTGTAATGTGCGGTGTGGGGCACAACCCGGGGGCACTTCTGGGCGAGTGCACCCGGAGGCTATCCTTGATGAAGTGGAGTGAAGTAGAAAACCCGGGGGTTCCCAAAATATAGCCGTTGAAAATATAGCCGTTGGAATATGTAACGACAGGATATAGCCGTTGGGGGGGTGGCACACGTGGCGTGTGATGGCTGGTTGTCCGTGGGCGGCGTCACCGGTTGGGTGAAACGGCGGTGTGTCATGATGGCGTCCATCCGGAGGCCTGGAATCCAGGCCCAAGCCCGGATTCATCGCCTATAAATACCCCAAGGCCAGGCATTCCTCCGTGTGCGATAAACTTGTTAGCGAAGCTCTGTCAATTTTTCTAGAGAGAGAAAGTTCAGCCTTCGGTCAAAACTCAGCTTTCGAGGTCAGTGCTCCCTGCCTTTCTCCTTCTAGCATAGCTGTACTGTGCCCTTAGTTTAGGAGATAGAAAAGTTAGGAAACACTACCGTCTACGAGCCCTCGAACAAGGGTGCGAATGTCGTCCCAGAGTGACTCTCAGGACATCTCGAGGACGCCCTCGATGGAGGACGAAGGCATCTCCGATGTGGAGTCAAGCAGTGGTCAGCCCTCGGATTGTGGTGATGCAGCCCTGGCCCGGGAGGTCCAGAAGGAACTCACTGCGGAGGTTGAAGCCGAGGGCTTCGAGCAGGAGTGCGATGACGAAGACTTAGCCCTCGTCTGGCAGACAGCGGAGGATGAGGCACAGAATGAGAGCTCGAAGGTTACGATCGCTGTCCTCCCCCCTCGGGGTTCCGGGGAGGCCAGTAGCTCGAGGCCGTTGGATCCGATACCTCTGAGGGCGGTTTCCGGTGTGAAGAAGAAGAAGGCCGCTACCAAGAAGAAGGAGAGGGCCGTCGATCAAGGAAAGCCCGTAGACATGCCCGAGGGGTACAGTTGGCTGAACACTGAGGCCCTCGAGATCAGGTCGAAGGCCGACAGGGCAGATCTGTACGTGACTCAGCTGCACGTGGGGCCCTCGGCCGAAGTGGTGGAGCCAGGTCCCGACGACGTGTTGTCCAGGGCGCCCGAGGGGTGTATTGCTATTCACGTCCTTTCGGTTTCCATGGGACTCAGGTTCCCTCTACACCCATTCCTCCGGGAATATTTGCGGTTTGTTGGCTTGGTCCCCTGCCAACTCACGCCCAACAGCCACTCCTACATTGCGGGGTTCCTCCAGCTCTGCAAGTCCCGAGGGGTGAAACCCAGCCTGGATCTATTCTTCCAGAGCTTTAATCTGTGCCGGGGGGGCACGAAAACAGCGAGGGGTACGCCAAACTGCAGCAGATTGCCCGCTTCAAACTATTCTCCGATGCTCCTTCTTCCAACAAAGGATGGAGGGAACGTTGGTGCTACGTGAAGTTGGATGAGAGCCCCTTCCCGAGGGAGCTACGTGACCGATTCCGAAGGCACGAAAAGATCCGGAGTGCCGCTCTCGAGAAAGACGGCCTAAAGCTGGCCAAGTTCCCGGAGGGGAAAAACAAGAATGTGGCGATCAAAGACTGCACCCTCGAGGAGGATTTGTACATCCTCGGGTTCCGGAGGTACCGCTTCATAGGGGAGACCGATGAAAAGTACCCTCCCTTCAACAAGGCCTTCGGAGGGGCCGGAGGTAGGAGCCGAGGGCTTTAGAATTTTGTACTTAGTTTTTTTTTCTTTTTCTTGGATGTTATCGTCCCTTCGCTTAGACCCGTCGGACTAACCCTTTGTCTCCTCTGTGCAGGTATCCCCGTCTCCATGGTGAATGTAAAGGGCCTTGCCCGTTTGAAGAAACAGGACCCGAAGGGGTCGGGACAGGGCATCCAGAAGCCCGCCACCGCCCTCTTTAAGAAAGCCGAGGGCGATGCCACTGCCGGCAAGAGGAAGGCAGTGGCCAAGGGGTCCCCCCCGGCTACCAAAAAGCCGAAAAAGGGGGATGTCGCCGAGAAGGAGCCCTCGGTCATTATCGCTGATGAGCCCCCCGCCTCCGGGGTGCAGGTGGAGAAGCTGCCGGGTGGAACGCCGGCGGGGGCAGAGGAGTCGCTGCCTGAGATCCTCACAGTCGCGTTCCCGAGAGGTACATCTTTGGCCAGCGGCGCCGTCGACCCGGGGGCCATCCTGAGGGGTATGACCCCTGAGACGGATAGGGCTGCCCTCGGGGCCTATAATGATGCGGCCCTCGAGGACCACATTCTCCGCTCCTCCCTCTCTGTAAGTGTTTACCTGGCTTTCTCCATCTTCTCCTTTTATTATTTTGTGTGACTGTCTTTAACTGTTTTTGTTGTTGTTCTGCAGGCTTGCTTAGCCCTCGGCGAACAGGCTCGGAGGCTTCAAGAATGGCGCCTCCACAGAGCGGAGCAAGACGCCAGAATGAGGGAGTGCCTGCTCAAGAACCAAGAGGCGGTGAAGCTGGGGGCCCAGCTAGAAGAGGAGCTCCGGCAGATGAGCTTGAAACTGGAGGCTGCAGAGAAAGGCAAGGCTGATGCTGAGGCCGCTGCCAGGAGAGCTGCTAAAGAGGCCGAGGACTCCAAAGCGCTAGCTGTCGCCAAGGCTCAGGAGGAGGCCGTTGAGGCCTTTGTCGCCGAGGGTTGGAGAGCCGAGGGGCGCAAGATGTGGGTGTCCTCGGTCGTGGAGGCCTGCGTTGAAGAATGGGCCGAGGGCCCTGGGTGGGAATGGATGGCCCGGAAGGGCAGAGAGTACTATGAAGCCGGCGAATTCTTCACCCAGGCCCTCATCTACCGGAGGATGGCCCGGCATTTGGGCATTGAGCAAAAGGACTTCTCCCCCTCGGCGTATGGCCTTCCTCCCTTGCAGCCTGATGTCCGTGAGCCGCTCCCGGAAGGTGTTCAGAGGCCCGACCTTGAGGACACGGTGTTGAAGAATGAGGTCGAGGACGACGCTGTCGAGACCGGAGCGGAGGCATCATCGAGGCCGGCTGTAGAGGGCGCCCCAGTGAACGATGCTGTCGTAGTTGTGGAATGACTTTGTACTCAGAAATCTTTGAACATCTTTTGTAATGAACAACATTGTTCCTTCGGCTTCGGCCCGTTTGTAAATTCACACTTACTCTTGTTTTTGATGAAATGCATGCTGCCTCCGGGCTTTTCATATTCGAATACGCCTTATGTTTTGAATGTATGCCTTCTCCTTTGAATGTATTTCTAGGACTTAGAATACTATCTGATTGTAGCTAGCCCTTAGGAGCCTTCGGTAGTTGGGCACCCTCTGCTGGATATGCAACCGATGGTTCGGCAGCAATTAGGACTCAGAAAATTTTTTCTAAGTGTAGCACAGCATGAGGCCTTCGGGCGTTTGTAGTAACCCACCTCCTAGGACTTAGAAAAATCTCTAAGTGTAGATTCCCCCTTGAGAGCCTTCGGGATACGGCGCCCATTCCTGATGTGTGAATGTTGGACCGAGGGCCCAATGCACAGGACTTAGAGATTTTTGCAAGTGTAGTATGCCATGTAGCCTTCGGCTACTGTGGAGCCCCACCTGTAATATTGAATAGGCCGGGGGCTAATTCTTTTAGGACTTAGAAGATTTTCTTGAGTGTTGATTCCTTGTGAACTGTAGCCCTCGATTGATAGGTAGCCTTCGGCAATTAGGTCCCTTGAGATGAGGGTGAAATATGTAGGACTTAGAAAATCTTCTAAGTGTAGAGTTTCCCTCGAGAGCCTTCGGGAGGTGTCATAACTCCATGATGTATGAGTAGCTGACCGGGGGGAAAGCATGTAGGACTTAGAAAATATTCTAAGTGTAAAGTCTCCCTTGGGAGCTTTCGGGAGATGGCATCCCTTCTTGATGTATGAATAGTTGACCGGGGAAAACATGTAGAACTTAGAAAATATTCTAAGTGTAAAACCCCCCTTGGGAGCCTTCGGTAGATGGCATCCCTCCCTGATGTAAGAGTAGTTGACCGGGGGGGAAATACATGTAGGACTTAGAAAATATTCTAAGTGTAAAATCCCCCTTGGGAGCCTTCGGTAGATGGCATCTCTCCTTGATGTAAGAGTAGTTGACCGGGGGGGAAATACATGTAGGACTTAGAAAATATTCTAAGTGTGAATTTTCCCTTGGGTGCCTTCGGGTGATGGGTGCCCTCTGATTCCACATCACTTTGCGAGATGCCCGGGGGCTACTCATTTAGGACAGAATACCCTCTCTTTTTTTAAGTGTTGTTGTATTGCATGGCCTTCGGCCACCATATTCCCTTGGCTGTAATATTGATTGGGCCGGGGGCTCCACCTTTAGGACTTAGAATTTTTTTCAAGTGCTGCTTCCCTGTGTAGCCTTCGGGTGCCCGGGGGCTGCTCCTTCAGGACTTAGAATTTTTTCTAAGCATAAATTGATGTTGAATCCTGTTGTCGTGAAGAAAGCCAATGAGGAGTGTGTGCCCTCGGCATACACTCTAAAAGTCGTAGAATTTGATCCTTGTCATGGGGAAAGGGCCCTCGGTATTTGTGCATAACGGATGCCTTCGGTGTTTGTTTGAAGTACCGTTTAGTGGACCTTGGACAGTCCAGTCCCTTTGTGTTGTTGAAGCCTTCGATGTCTTTGTGACCGGAGGTGACCAGGTAGTGGACTTAGCCGTTTCCTGATGATATTTCCTTGAGTAGTATCCTTCGGGAAATAGGAGTCTTCAATTGCCGGAGGTGTTCCCGTGGGGAGCCCTCGGCATGTTGTGATTTTGTTGAAGTGTACTCTTTGATTTCTCGCTGAGTCTACTCCCCTTCACCCCCTCTTTTTTTTTTTTTTTGGTTGGTGGTGAAGGGAAGGCATCAAGAAACTTGGTTTCTTGGTAAGGCTGGGCCTATTAGGAGACCATCAGAATACACCAATGGCTCTCCTCCCTCGGGTTAACCTTCCGAGTGCCGAGGGGATTGAGGGACGTTTCCTGGGCACAAGATATGGTGGTCCGTAACCTGCCTCCCCTTGGGGGATGGCGCGGAAAGCGCCTCATTTTTGAAAGTCATCCCCTCGGCGCTAGACATAATCTGTGGCCTGCCACACCCTTGGGGTGGTGGCGCGGGGAGCGTTTCGGTTTGGAAGTCGAATCCGGGGCATTTCTCATGCCTGTCATCCCCTGGGGGTAATGACGCGGATAGCGTTCCGTTTTTGAAAGTCGAATCCTGGGCATTTCTCATGCCTGTCATACCCTGGGGGTAGTGACGCGGAAAGCGTTTCAAGGAAGGGTTTTCATTTGCACACTAGTTGCAAATGGCCGGGGGCACTACGTGCCGTCGGCACCGATGGTGGCGCCTTCGGTATATGCGTCCTCGTGGGGTACAACTTTTAGAAACAACACTTGGTGTTTAGTTTCGATGTGTAGCCCCCGGTACTTGGTACCGAGGGGTCTTCTGTGGGAACACTTGGTGTTCTCTTTGTTGTAGTTGATGTAGGCGTCCACCCTCGGTACTTGGTACCGAAGGGTCTTCAATTGAAACACTTGGTGTTTCCCAACAGATGTTTGGAAGTTGATAGGAGAGTATATCCCTGGCACTTGGTGCCGAGGTGTACTGGGTGCCGAAGGGTCTTCTGTAGGAACATTTGGTGTTCTCATCTTTTCTTTTTTGGTGTTGAAGGGGGGGATGTACCCTCGGCGCTTGGTGCCGAAGGGAGATTATATGGCGTTCTTTGTTGTTAGTGATAGGAGTTCCCTCCCTCGGCACTGGGTGCCGAGGGGTCTTGACTGAAAACACGTGGTGTTTTCACTGCTTGTTGTAGGTGTTGATGGTGTCCGCCCTCGGCACTTGGTGCCGGAGGGGGTTCTTCTCGTAGTGAGGTCGGGGGCCTGTAGTCAGTATGAGGGCTTGATATCTTGAATGTATCTTCATTCTTTGAAATTGGAGGCCTTGGGCCATAGGATAGTACATTCACTAGTTATGAGGGCTTGGCCGCTCTTACATTATTGATAAAATTTAACTAAATGGTGTACATTCCAGTGCCTAGGGACTTCTTTCCCATTGGGGCGTTTGAGCTTGTAGGTCCCGGGTTTGATGATGGCTGCTATGATGTAGGGGCCTTCGAATTTTGGTGCCATTTTTCCTCCCTCGGTTGGTTGGCTGGCTTCCCTCCTCCGGAGGACATAGTCCCCCACTTGAAATTCTCGGGATCGAACTTTGGCGTCGATGTAGCTTTTAACTTGCCTTCGGTAGTTTTCTGCCCGGATGAAGGCCTGCTCCCGGCGTTCTGAAATGAGGTGGAGGTCGAGGGCCATGTTGCTGTCGTTGACCTCGGGGTCATACTGGATCACCCTTCGGGTAGGAAGGGTGACTTCCGTAGGAGCTTTGGCTTCAAAACCGTAGCAGAGGGAGAAGGGTGTTTCACCTGTAGCGCGCCGAGGGGTAGTGCGGTAGGCCCAGAGGATGTTGTGAAGTTCTTCCACCCAGCCACCACCCTCAGCCTCCAGCTTCTTTTTGAGGCCTTCGAGCAAGGTCCGGTTGGCGTTCTCTACCTGCCCGTTGCCTTGAGGGTAGGCAACGGAGGAGAAGGTGTGTTTGATGCCCCATGCCTCCAGAAGGGCACAGAAGGGGGCTGCCTCAAATTGTGTTCCATTGTCGGAGATGATCTGCTGGGGGACGCCAAACCTTGTGAGGATGTTTTTGAGGACGAAGTGACGGCACTTCGCCTCTGTGATGCTAGCGAGGGGTTCAGCCTCCACCCACTTGGTAAAATAGTCGACGGCCACAATGATGTATCTGTTGTTGGAGGTACCCCTCGGCAGAGGGCCCACAAGGTCTATCCCCCATCGAGAAAATGGGACAGAGGTGCTGATGGGGGCATAGTTGACCGCTGGCCTGCCGGGAGCTTTCTGGAAATGTTGACATGCGGTGCACCTCCGGGCAAGGTCAACACAGTCCCTGGCCATGGTTGGCCAGAAGTAGCCCTGGAGAATGAGCCTTCGGGACATGGAGAAGGGTCCCTGGTGAGCTGAGCAAGCGCCACTGTGCACTTCCTCCATTGCGACCTCGGCTTCATCTGGATGAAGGCACCGAAGTAGCGTGCCGTTGTAAGATCGTTTGTAGAGCCTCCCATCTTCGATGGTGTAGCTGGGAGCCCTTAGTTTTGCCAGTTTAGCGCGGGCTTCATCCTCGGGTAGCTGCCCTGTGGAGATGAAGGCGGTGATATCCGAGATCCAATCCTCCTGTCGTTGTTGTATGTTCATAACGGGGCTCGCATGGATGCTTGAGAGGCTGAGTTCCTCGATTTTGGCAATTTTGGAGATGTGCTCGGGGGAGTCAGCCGAGAGCTTAGACAATATGTCGGCCTCGGAGTTCTGAGCCCTCGGTATTTGAGTAAGAGAGTGTGCCTCAAATACCTTAAGCAACTCCTTGGCCGCTTCCTTGTACTGTTTCATTCTTTCCTCCTTGGCCTCATATTCTTCGGAGATTTGGCCAACGACCAACTTGGAGTCGCATTTGATGTGGATCTGCCGAGCCCTCATGTTGGCAGCCAGCTGAAGGCCACATAGGAGGGCCTCATATTCGGCCTCATTGTTGGAGACTTTGAAGGAGAAGTGGATTGCATAGTAGGCCCTGAAGCCCTCGGGAGTAATGAGGACTACCCCTCCCCCGCATGCTTTGGTCGCGGAGGAGCCATCAGTGTAGAGGGTCCACCAGTCGTCCGAGGTAGCCGAGGGCTCCCCGTCCGTGGCTGCCCTTGCGGTACATTCCGTCACAAAGTCCGCCAGGGCTTGGCCCTTGATGGCAGGCCTTGGACGGATGTCAATGTTGTATTGGCTCAAGAAGATAGCCCATTTCACCATGCGGGAGGAGCTGGTGGGGCTCCTCATGAGGGCGCCGAGGGGTTGATGGGTGAGGACCTGAACCGGGTGAGCCTGAAAGTAGTGGCCCAACTTCTTGACAGTCCAAACGATGGCTAACACCGTTTTTTCCACAGGGGAGTACCTGAGCTCGGCCTCCCTTAGGGTCTTGCTAACGTAGAAGATGGCATGCTGGATGCCGTCTTCCTCCCGGATAAGCACAGAGCTGATGGCCGCCAGGCTGACCCCAAGGTAGAGGTAGAGAGTCTCCCCTACCTTGGGTTTGGAGAGCACAAGGGGTGAAGATAGATACCGTTTGAGCTCGTCGAAAGCCCCCTGGCATTCTGGAGTCCATAGAAAGCCAGCCATCTTCCTCATGATCTGGAAGAAGGGTAGGGACTTCTCCGCCGATTTAGATAGAAAACGATTGAGGGCTGCCAGGCGGCCCGTCAACCGTTGAACTTCCTTTACATTGCGTGGGGGCTCCATATTGATGATGGCCTGGATCTTCTCGGGGTTGGCCTCAATACCCCTTCGGCTCACCATGTAGCCTAAGAATTTGCCCCCTTGGACGCCGAAGGTGCACTTCTTCGGGTTAAGCCGAAGGTTGAATTTTTGCATGATGGCGAAGATTTC